TGTATTGGACTTGTAATTTTGAATCCCTTCCCTGTCGCCAGGAGGATTTCTGAAATTACTGAAAAGGATTCTCAAAAAAAGTAAGGGTAAAGTTTAATAATAATATCCACTTAACACATATATCTTTCACAAACCCTTTGGCATGATTATTATTCGCATTAAAGTTTGACCAGATTTTTCAGACCCAAAAATAGCTAATCATCTGGAAGAGGTACAGATTAAGAGATTCCCACCGTGGAGAAAATTCAGTGTAGCGTCACCGATTTACAGAACTGTAGGATTGAGGAGCACACAACACAAGAAAACTGAACAATAACCGCACTAAAATATAATAAAAACTCTTACTTTTGCATAAGAAAGACACATGAATGAAGAATAAAATCTCTGACTTTGAGGTACGTATAAAGTCTGACCACCGCAACTATCATAGATTTGTGGTACTTCATTAGCCAATCAGCAAGCTGTGAGACACATTAACTCACGACAACTTTTACAATTTGTACTTGTTTTCTATTTGCACACAATTTAGGTCAAATAAAAGAAAGTGAAAAGAATAGTGTCTGGAATAGAACGGTGTGGAATGATGGGGTTCTGTGATTGGATCTAATATGCTGCTGCTCAGTACAGTGCTGAGTCTGTGCTTGGAATGTGAATAGGGCTCTGGTGCAGGAAGCCAAACCCACTGCCTTTTTGTCTTTGTGGAGTCCAGGCACACTCCTCCACCTGCCAATCATCTGTGACCTGTTTATATTCAAAACTTGGTGTGGCAGCATTAGCATGTTGTAGAATTGAATCATGTGGGTGGCTTGTCAGATTTGATACATATGAGATATCTAATAGGCAGAATAGTTTGGAAAAAAACAAACTATGTAATATCAAAGACTGTTAGAAATACAAACACACAATGGGCAGTTTGGACATGGCTGATATTACCTCCTAAAGATATTCATGGCTGCAAAGTTCTGCCAATTATTAATTACTGGGTGACTATAGTAAAAAAAAGCATACAAAGCACGGAGCGTTTAAGTTTCATTCTGAGGCTTCAAAAAGAGAAAGGTGATGCACTCTGGGAGAAATGGGATACATACCTCATGTCTAGGGGCAATAATTGATTTACTGTAATTGTACTTTTGTCTTTCATTCAGTACCTACTGCACCTATTTTGTAAGGCAAGGCAAGTTTATTTGTATAGCACAATTCATACACAAGGCAACTCATAGTGCTGAACAAAATAAGAAAGCATTAAAATCATAAATAATCACAGAACATTAAAAAGAAAGAAAAAAATATAAAATCCCTCAGTTGTATGCACAGCTAAACAGAACTGTTTTCAACCTGTCTCACATCTTCAGGAAGATTGTTCCAGATTTTAGCAGCATGAATCTGAAAAGCAGCCTCCCCATGGGTAGTTCTGACTCTGGGCACTAACAGGAGTCCAGTCCCTGTGCTCCTCAGAGTCCGGGCTGGTTCATAACATGTCACTAATATATTTTGGTGCGAGGCCATGGAGAGACTTGTAACAAGCAGAGCTGTTTTAAAGTCTATTCTCTGAGCCACAGGAAGCCAGTGCAGAGACCTGAGGACTGGACATTGTACCCCGTTATGTGTTGAAATTACTTGGAAAACATTTTTTTTTTTAAAGAATAACAAACATACATAGTGGGACATTTTCCTTGATATCCATGAGTAGCTATTGTGAAGGACTTTACAAAACCATCACCAACACAGATCAGAGAATCAAACAGTACAAACTCAAGAAATGCAATTATATAAACACATAGAACCTTAGGTCCATAAGGGGCAGATGACCAATGTCCATAAATGTTGATAAATGTCAACAAGAAAAAATGCGTTTTCAAATCCATAAACATTACGTGTAGACAATGGAATAACCTCGAAAGATTAATTTATTGTGATGTCGCAAACAAAACATGATTGTTATAGTTTCAGAAATTTCAGATTTTTTTTTTCTTCTGTACTTTTAAGTTAGCATAGGCCCAAAAAAAGTAGTCTACATAAGCCATTATTGATACCAAATGTCAACTCGAAACCCTCTGGTGCACAGAGGGGATAAATTGCAGCCACCGTTTGTAATGTCGCTGTTTTTGTGCACTTGGCGAAATTGATGGATTTTGATCCCACTGCGGATGACAGCGGAAAGTCATTGAGGGAGAAGTTTTTTTGGCAGCCGGCACTTTTTCACAGGCTTCCCGGTCAAACGGATAGGCACCGTGACAGGCCAGTCAATAGAAGTCAGCAGTGATTATGCAAGTTGCTTATGCCTAATGAGAAAGGTCAGTGCATTGCCAAGAGTATGGGACCCATGCCCAGGATCACACTGAGAAGTACAGGGTGCAAATCTGTACTTTCAGTCAAGCAAGTGTTTACGTAAAGTCTAGTAACTGTAGTAACAATGTGGAAAAGAACAATTACAATGTTTTGCAGTAATACAAATATAACAGGGGTTCACAGTACAAAATATGCAGGTTAGATATCACATAATAATGACTCTAAATGGCCTTAATTAAATGCAAATACTGTACATTGTCACATTCAAAGACTTGATATTGCAATATCTTTCATGCTATGCAATTTGGAGAGTGGTCCTAGTCAAAGCATAGATTCTTTCTTGATTCTCCAGAGGTGAGGTCCCCAATTACTATTTTGCAATAGCAGACATTGCAACCTTGCATTCATTATAAATTATTATGTTGTGTTTAACTAGTTTACAAAGTATGACAGCTTACAAAAAAGTATAAATATATTATTTTGTCAATATCAACAGCCTTGAGTTTCATTCAATTCAATCATAATTCACTTCATTTTTGGGGAACTGAGCATTCTTTGTTCCAACCTTAAAATTTGTGTGCAGTGCTGAGGAAATCTCAAACAAATACAGTATTTGACAAGAGACAAGAAAACTACAGATTGCTTTTCCAAATAGCAATTATTAATAGACATTTGGAAAATTATTTATGGCTCTAATCAAATCAATTGTAAAAAATCAAACAATTTGATTCATATTTCCATATTATTAATGAAATATCTTTCTGAAATATCTTTCTATGATATATTTTTCGATTCCCTGTAGAAGAAATGCAGGTGTCCAGCATCAGAAATGCATCTATCCATAGTACAAGTACAAACATTTTGTCACTAACTAACAATCCAACATAGAACCCAAGCCTGACAGGGCAATTATTGTTTTTCATTTATATATGATCTTCTGATAACAGGTGGTCATGAAAAAAATGACAATCTAGGTAATATATTTCACAAAACTATGATTTATCAATCCATTTCTAACCTGTCTTGTATATGTCAGCTCTCAACAAGATTTACTCTTTCTCATTGTGGATAGTACGATTTTACTACTCACACATAACATGTTCATAACCGTATCTTTTCACATCAACACAATACACATAGACCACTTACAACCACACAGTGTCAATGGAACATACAATGCAGAGTTTTTTTGCAAAGACCAGATTGATCACGTTTTATTGGCGCAGTCCTTTCCCCATATGGTGAAACAATTTGCGTTATGCCTCTGCTCTGGCACCCTTCTTCTACCCCAGCCCCCAACCCCCACCTCTAGGCTAAGCTATCTTTGGTTGACAGAACAGCGTCCTCTCTCTACACTTTATCTCCCTCGCTCATTGCTTTGATGTGTTGTGATTGTGTGGCGGCGGTGGTGGCGGTGGCAGTGGTGCGCTGCTGGGGAGGTAAGGGAAAGAAGAGAGAGAAAAAAAAGGGGGTGGGATGTGGAGGGGGGGCCGGTGTAGCAGAGAAAAGCATTCTGCAGTGAAAATGTGCTCCCACTGAAGCGTAGAGAGACTGCAGCACAGCGAACTAGCCTGAGCACCACCTGCAGTCCAGAGGAGGCAGGAAATGATCAACCAAGACACAATGATACAACACTCTGCTCATTCTCTTCTCCTTATTCTTCCTTTTCATCTTTTCTTCCTTCCCTCTTTCTCTCTCTCTCTCTTCGACCCAATTCGCCACAGAATGATCCCCTGCCTAACGTCAAGCTTGCTCCCTGACAGCTCGCAGCCCCAATTTCTTTCTGCGACTGTGACATTTGTCATTCTTATTCCATACGTCCATCTTTCAGTCACTCACTCCATCTGCTGTCCCAACACTTTTCCTATCGGTGACTTAGCACACGTTTCTCTATGCACCATTCAAGTCGTGCGTATAAGCACTGTTTCCGAAGTCATTTGTAATAGAACTCCTTTTTGGGTTTTTAATTTTTTTTGGTCTTTTGCACAGCATTCTGTTCCTAGTCATTCAGCCATTCCCCCCTCCTTACTTGCGTGCTCCCCTCCTCCCGCGCTTGCTTAGTAAGTGCTGCAGCATCAGTGTATGTGTGTATGTGTGAGAGAACCAGCATACAGGAGAGTGTGTTCAGCTGGAGAGAGTGTGCGAGCGCCGGGGACCCTGAGCTGTGTGACAAGTGAGGGGCTCGGCTTGCCTGTGGACAGACGCACGCCGGGACTGTGTTTTTTTTTCTCCCCGACAAAGGCATCTGCATGAATGCGTGTGAAAGACAGTAAGTGCGAGCATGACAGTCTGTAACGGTGTCGTCGATCGGCTCTGGACCCTTCGCATTATGCAGCCAATGGTGCTTATCACACTTTGAGGACTGACTCATCCACACTGGACTGAGGTGGAAGGATAAAATCAGTAATGGATTGAGTGATATGAAGATGGGTTCAAGCTTCTGGTGCATCAAGTCCCTCTAGACTGGCCAGGAGTCTAGTCTCAGAAGGGGATGCCATTGACTTCAAACTGGCACAAATTGGACTTGCAGGCACTCTACCAGACTGGTACTCAAATATTTCCAAGGCTTTAATACATTGCCTGACGGAATTCAAGGAAAAGGGACCTCTACTTTGGGTTGCCTGGCTTCACGTTCATTTTTGGGGGAATTCTTTCCCGGAGCTTAAAGGGTGCGATAACACACTGGCAGACGAGACGGGACAGACGCAGGCATGGCTCGCCTCAACTGGTGCCTGGCTGCTGTCATCAGCTGGGGCAAGTTTCTCTTCGCCTGCTTCTTCCCTCTGCGGGGGGCTAAGAAAGACAAGGTAAGACTCTACCCACAGGAGACCTAAAGAGGAAAAAGAACTCCAAATGGTCTTGATTGAATGCAGATACTGTACTATATTGTCACATTCAAAGACTTCACATTACAATATTTTTTATGCTATGCGATTTGAAGAGTGGGCCTAGTCAAAGCATTGAACCTCTATGCCTGGCTCTACCTAAACAGTGCAATGACGTAGCTGTGAAAACCCCTTGATTTTAGACGATGGGCCTGCATAACTGAGTTCCTTGTAAGTGCTGATTCAAGGTCAGTGTTACATTTCCAACTGTCCCCAGACAGGTGCTCTAGATACAGGTGTTGTGAACTGAGGGAGGCCAGCTTTGGTACCTCCAACATGGTCAAACTGATACATAGGGTCACCTTGCTCAATGGTAATGCAGTATTGTTGAGGATTTATTCATTCTCCATGGGGCCCTTCAGTCAGCTCATAGATCTTCTGCTTTCTTCTGCCTTTCAGTTCCTTCATATTCTGATTTCATCCCTCCGCCATATTTCAAAAGTCCTATGGCACATGCTTGGGAGGGAGAAGGGCCAATTGGAGTTCATTCAGTGGTAGAAGCTGGTGCAAGGTTTTCTTTCTTTCTTTGTTATCCCATTTGTGATATGGACAAAACCTGAATCGCAATTTCTCTCTTATCGTGGATCATCTGTAAAAACTCCAGTTGAAATGGCACCATCTCCTCTTGCAACACACATGCAAGAACGCTACTAACACTGCCTCAGGTAATCAAGATTTGCGCCTGTCACAAATGTCACAATCACTGAGAATCTTCATCTCAAAAACTGTTTGTAAATGACGTATTTCCCTGCAAACTCTGGACTTTTCCTGTCTTTTTTAAGGATGTCCCAAACCTTTTGATGCAGACTTAAATACTATTCTACGCTGCTGAATTATTCATAGTTGAAGCTGTTGCATATGGTTTCAGGAAAGCCATGACGGACATGTCCAGTGGTCATGTTTATTTTGTAGTTATTTTTTACTGTTGGTGGTGACGCCGTAGCATGCAGTGTTGCAACCGCCTGTCTCCTCACACCCCCGGCAGCCTCCTCCCACTAACTCCAGCCCCCCCACTCCTCTGCCGCAGCTCCTTATCTCTACACCCGCGCTCAATCCCAGCAAACTCACCCCTGTCGCACTCCCCTCTATACCGCATACATGAAGAAACCTCTCGACCGCCTTTTTACATTTTGACGCAGCCTAACGGTCTATACCCCAAACGTTCTTTCAATTACCAGTCAGTATTTCCCTTTGAAATCTTGTTGGAATTTTGCGTATGGCTTTGAGGCATTTTTTTTTCTGTATGTAATATTTTTTTGCATCGTCACAACGACAAAAAAATTATATAAATGATACTGCAATAGCGATTCTGCAAACCTGCTACATTACCTACACATTGCATATACTGTATCAAATGACAATTGTATAGAGAATGAAAAAAATACATGGAAAATCAAACAAATATCAATTCTGCTTCTTTAGTTTGCTAACTCATGTCTGCATTCTTCCTAATACTCATTAATGTCCATGTCTTTGCTTAAAATCACTTAAGTTTGTGCATTTCTTCATCTACTGTATGTCCGCTATGCTTTATACCATCACCCTTTCACCTTTGTGTTGCCAGAACAACACACCCTGGAGTCCAAAAATTCTCACACTTTTCTGCAGCATACAAGTCTTTTCAAATCCCACAACTGCGCCACTAAAAGCTGTGCGATCACGTGACTGTGCCAGGAGGTGAAAGTGGAGAGGTAAATGCTTTCAGTCTTTTCCCCTCAGTGAGAGAGAGAGTCGGTGGTTGCGAGGTGTTCAGTTTCCATAGCAACGCGGCTCATACAGTTACCCCTCTTCTTCGCGACACCAAAACACTGTTACTATTCTGATTGCTGTTGTTTTGAATGAAGGCGGCTTTCTCCGGTTTCTATGGCTACCAAAGGTTAACGCTCCTCTCGTCTTGTTTTGAGTTTTGCGTTGTTTAATTTCATCAGTCTTTTTTTGTGCCCCATTTCTTTTCTGCACACTTCCTTGCCTCTCCTCTTGCCGATGTTTACTCACCCCCTATTCATTTAACTCTACACTCCCAGAATTCTGAAGCTACTAGAACTCCCAGAGCAGTCATTGGGATGGCTTCCATTCAAATCAATAACATAAAAAAAAATCCTCAAAAAAACTGCTTTTAATTCGGTTTTTATCTTTTATACATGCTAAAACTCAATTGGTGGATCACGCAAAATAGATAATAATAATTCAATAAAAACTCATATAAACATCATAACTAAATGCCAACTGATACAATAATAATTAATATATAATAATTTGATTAGATATGAGGTAATAATGGCTTGAATCCAGTGTTTTTTTATATTATTTGAGTACATTCTGACTGTCTTTGGATTTTTCAATGGAACAAAGCCTTTAGTCTTAATTCAAGAACTGTTACCTTATTTTCTCATTCTTGGGGAAACGTATCACTTTAAAATTAGATCGTTGTGCTTGTCCCATTGGCAAGTCTTGTTTGAAGAAAGTCAAAATTTACTGAAATGAAGATACATTTAGCCAAATTTGAGCAATTTATGACTTGTTTTTCATCACCCTTTGCAGTGTTTTAGAAGTAGTAGTTTATTTGAGTAGTGTACTGTACTTTTACAGGTACAGGTCATTTCAAAAACCAAAGCTCAAAAGGAGAAGGTCTAAGTTAAAAGCTTATATGCCTTCCCCATCTTCAAAACTACAGTTGAACGTCTGAAAACAGATGCAAAAAGCAATATTCTACCATCAATATTTTCATCATCATCGTGATCATCATCCTCTTTTTGATGAACTAATTAAAAAAAACAGCTATGGACCAATTTATGATCCATATTTCGCCGCAATAATACATGTACAGGTTTGTCACTCCCTTCTTCACTGTGCTGCGGTTGTCTCTTGAAATAATCTCTTTAAATAATTCTTGAAATACTATCACAGTGTTTTGCAGTGAAATTGCACTGAACCAGATCCCAAGATAAGTTCATATAAATAATTACTAATAATTTAGATTCACGAAAAGTCACGGTAACGAAGACCAAAAACGTAAATAAGAAAACAAGCAGGAGTAATTACACTTCCAAAATGAAACCCCTATGTAAAAAGTAATATACAGTAAATGAACGTCAAGACTCAGCCAAAAGAAGGTGATTATGAGAAGTCTGGTTCCAAACTTATTCTCTGCCTCCATATGCGACATCACCTTGTCCATTCCGTTTAGTATTTACCACACGCCACCTCGCTCCAGTTTCTTTTGATTGCGGAGGAAGAAGATTCGTGGAGGACCGGAGTGCCTTCAATGGCTCCCCGTATTTCTAGGCCAGCTTTCAGTGTGATGGATGCTTTGTTATTTCAGCATTAAAGCTTTAATGTGATGAATTCTCAAGCGACATAAAAGAGAGGAGTCCACGCAAGTGATGGGGAATACGTCAAGTCTGCAGTTTCGCTCATTTTGTGAGCAGTAAATTGCGCGCAGTGGATGAAATTTAAGAAGCTAATCTAGAGACTTGCAATAAATATGGCTTGTGATTTGAAAAAAAAAGACAACTCCTGTATTTGGGGTGCACTGGATTTGTTTGTTCAGTTCCGGTGTATTTTTGTGATTCAAGTATTTTTTATTTTTATTAGTTCTGGGTAAGATTTAAGTTTAGAGGTGCACTGTACTGGATCCGCCACCTTCTGAAAAAATACTTCTGCAATTAGTAATATTATGGCAGTTTTTGTTTGAAACTAGTGTGACTGCATGGCTTTATGTGATTATTAAACAGTAATCAAGACTTTTATTTTATTTTTATTTTTTTTATTTTGGGTTCTACGGTTTTCCCTAGAGGTGACAATCAATCAATCAATCAACCAACTTTATTTGTATGGCGCCTTTCCAACACAAGGCCACTCAAAGCGCCTCACAACCCACATAATATCAGACAAATCAGAAACACCAAAATCTACATATACAAACAATAAATACATTAAAAACAGAATAAAATCACAAGTAATGAAAAAACCTTAAAACATTAAAAACACACACAGGATTAAAATAACAAATAACCACAATGAAAAGAGTATGTATCAATAAAATCCTTCAGCCGTATGCACAGCTAAAAAGAACAGTTTTTCTTCCTGCTGCTGTCAGACTGTACAACGAGAATGTGTAACAGGAACTGCTGAGTCTGCACAAGTGTTTCTGATAATTCACTAGTAACTTTGTCACTAGTCACTTTACCTGTTATCAGTACTACTACAGTACTACATATCTGATAATTCTGCCTTTCACCGTCACTTTACCTGTTCATATCTTACTGTATTATTCATATCCATCTGATCATCCTCCCATTCAAGTCACTTTACCTGTTGATATTATTTCTGATGTTTATTCTGCTCATATTCTCATATTCTCCGCTGCTAATGTATAATATAGACATCTGTAAATACTCCGAACCAAGTGCAATTATAGCCCAGAGTTTCTTATTTTATTTTATCTTAAATTTATTGTCTATTATCTTAAATAATAGACTTTGATGTGTGCAATCTGAGTGCTCTTGTTTCCTTTCTCTGCTGTAATGTGCAACGATGACACTGAAATTTCTCCACTGTGAGACTAATAAAGGTTTATCTTATCTTATCTTATCTTATCTTTTAACCCTGATTTGAAAATTAAAGTAGATGCTAGCCTCACATCTTCAGGAAGTTTGTTCCAGATTTTAGCTGCATAAATCTGAAACGCAGCCTCCCCATGTTTAGTTCTGACTCTTGGAACCAGTAAGAGGCTACCTCCTGTGCTCCTCAGAGTCCGGGCCGGTTCACAATGGCCACATACAGTAGCTACAATCTGATGTGTATACACTTACTGCTGTTCATTAATACATACTGTACAAATAGACAAATCATTTTTAACACTGGTTGAAACTGACCAGACCTCAGGATCTCAGAATTTAGTTTTTTGACAGCTTCAATAAAAAGATATTCCACGATAATGGTTTTCAGCTCCTACTTGCTCCTACTTGTTTTTCATTCAGTTTGGTCTTTAGCAGGTGAAACGCCAGCTCAGATTCTGGATATGTGAATGACTTCAATGGCTGTTGCAAAAAATTCGACATCTTTACCTTCAACACATTTTTGATAGCATTTTCTGCATTTTTTTGTTTTTGTTGTTGTAGCACTTTGAGGTTTCCTGGAAATATAAGGAGAGATACGAATAAAAACTCTTTTATTATTATTATAATTATTATCCATCTATTTAAGCAATGACTGGGAAAGATATAACAACCTGAAACACTCTAGAAATACTCTTGCTGTGTGAGCTTGTTCTTTCTCCTTACTTTTCCCATCGCTCTAATACAAGTAGATCTTTGTTTCATCTGTACATATTGTTTCAGAACTGTATTCCAGACAATTTCCAGATATTTTGGTGCAGTTCGACACATGCTCATTCTGTGTGGACTTTGCCAGCCCTACCACTAAAAACATGTGCCATAGTTCCAGGTGAATCGGTGAGTGTTTGATAGTGTGGAAGTGGGACTATGGATGGATAATTGCCTTAAGTCTTACAGCTGACCAGTAGTTTTGAGTTATTGTGTTGCATGTTCTCCCCATGTCAGTTTAGGTTTCCTCCAGGTGCACCAGTTTCCCTATATCACAAAAAAAACATGTACCATACACTACAAAAAGTGCTAAAAATATCTATGTATATAATTTTGATTGCCTTAAAACAAGATTCGCAATGGGACAAGCAAAACAATCTTATTTATTTTAAGATACAAGAAATGTCTCCCTTGGATTGAGAAAAATAAAGTAGTAGTTGAAAGTTGAAATAGTTGAGATAAGACTAAATGGCTTTGTCCCAATCTTCAGTCAGTATTATCTGTAACTAAAATGAAAACCACTCAATTCAAACAATTAATTCCTATTATTTGCAGTGTAGGGGCTGCATTTGCTTAGTACCTGAACGGTGGTCGTGAGGCAAGTTAGTTTTAACTTTTCTGACGATGTGTTGTTGCAATAGTAATCCTATACTGGTGGTTTGTGTGAATCCGTCCCTCTGACCTCAGTCTATGCTTCACGGCAGCTGCGGCTACAGTAGTGGCTTACCTGCGTTGTGTTTGGAGTGAATAACTAATCCACAGGAATGTAAAGCGA